CATACATACATTCATACAAACAAACAGACCAACATGCATACAAACAAACAATCACACTGTGTCTATTTAACATCAGCAACATTTACACAAAATACATACATAGGCAGATAGATTTATGAGTATTGTATGCCTGTCGCATGTGTCTATCAATTCTATATTATCTTCACGACATTCTAAATTTGTCTGACATTTTAAATTTGTCTCGAGTTATAAATTTATCAATATGATCTCATATATATATAGCTATTTATTGCTATATATAAATATATATATATATATATATATATATACTTATATATATATATACACCTATATATATATATTGTATGTATGTATGTATGGATGTATGTATGTACATTGTTTGTGTGCACACATGCATCTGTGTTTAGGTATGTTTTTGTATAGAGTAAGTTCTCTATTGATCTTTTTATTGATTTTGTTATCTCTGTTCATCAGTTTTTTTGATGTCCACATGTAATTAATTAGTGAATTAATTAATGAGATAATTAACCAATTAATTGAACAGTTAATCGATATTTAATTAATTAGTTAATAATTAATTAGGAGATCTTCGTGCCTTCAGTTGAGAAATTAGAATATAAATGAGGGACAGATTAGGCTTGTGGTAGAGACGGCTGTTGAGAATTGCAATGCTAGCTATACATTAGCCATATCACTGATGACTGCTTAAGTGTCTTAATTGTATATATAGTAAAAATAAATATTGTACGTTTTATTAATATATTAAATTTTATTTAAATATTATTTAATTTTTTTATTATTAATTTATTTTGATAGGAAGCTATTTTTATACATTCTGTTATTTAATAAGTGTCTATATATATATATATATATTAGGAATGCGACGGTTCCGAATCCGGATTCGGATTCGGATCCGAATCCAGGGATTCGGAAAAGATTCGGATCCGCGGATCCTAAATTGAGGATTCGGCGTTTTACGGGTCCAAAATCAACTTAAGCGGCGAGAAAATTTTATCGATTGAGGGAAAAAGTGAATCTAAATATCAACATTGATTACGTAATAATCATTTAAAGTTATGAAAACTGATGTTTTTGAGATTCGTTTTGCACCTCTACAAATTTAACATTCAAAACAAAAATTTGATTTTCGTCAGAGAAACAGCTTATTTAGTTTTATGACCGCATACAACATGGATCCGGATT